ACATATATATGTATTTAGGTAACTAGTGATATATAATTGCAGTTGGTAAATGTGTTTTGTTCTTATAGATAGCATTTGATGAGTTTTGTATTAGTTTAGAAGTTAAGTTTAGTAAGTGGTATACAAAAATATAAACTAGTTATGTTTTAAATGCGGAGCAAATAATGTTTCAGCTAAAATAAAATGGACATAGTTTTTAATGAGAGTTTTTCATTTTTTTGTTTTGTTTTGAAAATGGTTTTCAGTTTAATTATTATTTGATTATATTTTGTATTTTTGTTTGGTTTGGTTTTTGTGTTTTCAGTCATTACTCAGTAATTGCCTCTTTGAAGTTAGAACTCCATCGCCAGTTAAACTATGTGGGTTGTTGTTGTTGTTGTTGTATACGATATCAAAAATTGTTAGTTCGAAAAAAAGGGGCAAGAAGAAGAAAACGATATCACTAGGTAAACCTCATTTAATAAGACTTTAAGCTTTTGATTTTTGGTGGTGTTTGTTTTGTCAAACGTATGCATATGAATTTTCGTGTTTCAATACGTAAAACGCTTTCGCTTTATCAAAAAAAAATTCAAACATGAACTAAAAACAACAAAAATGCTCTTTCAATTAGATTGATAGTATTTTAACCCTTGGGAAATATCGGTGAAGCCATCGCCTTTTATAAACTGTCTCGGGATTGGAGTAAACTCTACACGTATGTATATATAAACAAAATCAAGTACAATGAAGTGGACGCAGTAGAAATTAAAACAAACGAAACTACTTATTAACAGCCAATTGCAACTTGTTTATAGTAAAAACAGCACAGAAATGAACAGAGGAACCAGAACTAAAATCAAATTAAACTATAAAAAAGCATACGTACAAATGAATCGAATTGAATAAATACAATTGATTGACTAAGGTAGCACTAAATAGCTTGCTTATATATTATATAAAACCCTTGCACAACTAGATTGTAATTTCAATCAAAAACAGTCGATAATAGTCTATGCGCAGTATTAAGGATGAAATGAGGTTAAAATAAGTTTGTATACAAATCAGTCAAGGATATAGGCCAAATGATTGTTATCCAGTTAATTGTCTATGAAATCCCACTTAGATGTATTATTAGATATATGTATATCTGTTATGTTTATTCAATTGCTGATTTGTAAAACAAAGGTTCAAATAATGCACTTGCAATGCATTGAATAACGGGGTGTGCTCAAAAATGGATTTGGAATGTCTATTACATGCTTAAGCATATTACAGTTGAATATAAATTATAAATAATTGTATTGACATACAAGTATTGATTTTCTAAGCTGCCCTTTTTTTTTACACATTTTTTTTATTCCCGTCAAAATTTATAGTACTACATGAAAGTACAACAATTTGCATTGGATTAGACAAAGCTTTGGCCCAGGTATATCGCATTAGAATGCATTGAAGAGAAGAACATGGATATCGATAAATATCTAAGTATTTGCTTTGCATATTTTCTAAGCCACCTTGCAAAAAGAAAATATCACTTAATCTGCTTTAACTGTTTTTAATTTTTGTAATTTATCAGCATCTAGTGGGCACTTTATAAAACATTTCTTATCAGCAATTGAATTTCTGTTTTGGTTGTTGAAGTAAATAGATGGACAGACTAGACATGTATGAATAAAAATGTTAATGGACGGATGTAAAGTTGAAAGGTTGATTTGTTGTTAATACCTTAGATCAGTGCAAACAAGGCCACCTTTCAGGCACTCGATGCAACGTTATTTAGGTTATTCAGTCAGCGGGTTTTACAATATTTAGCAAGGATTCTAATGTGCAAAATAGGTTCATCTTTTAAAACGAAACTCAGCCAATGCAAATACTTCTTTCGGTCAAAAGCAACTAGTTTTTGTCATCAAAATAATACAAAGAATATTCGTTAATCAAT